CCATGTATTACGAAAAAAATATTAACAAATATTTCTAAAGATGTAGAGATGGTTGACCGTGATATAATATGAGAAGGAATTGGTCAGGGGGTGCGGTCAAATAAATACTAATTTTTAAAAAATAGTATTTTTTATAAAATAGTATTACACCGATGTTTTGACCCACCTTGCCGGTCTTCATCAGGGCTACAAAAGATACAAAATATAAAAGATACAGTGTGAAAATAAAATAAATGAATTATAAGTAGATATTAAATAAGAAACAGTTCTTGATATATTATGACATTTTAACTAAATTGTCATCCACTATATCTCTGATGTCATCTTATTATTTCTTTATCAGACAACTGTTTCTTATTTAATATCTACTTATAATTCATTTATTTTATTTTCACCATGTACCTTTTATATTTTGTATATTTTTTAGCTCTGATGAAGACCTGCTAGGTGGGTTGAAATGGGTTGTGGTGTAATAATTAAAAATACCTTTTTTTAAAATTTAGTATTTATTTTACCGCACCCCCTGACCAACTCCTTCTCAAATATCTTTAAAAGTATTATTGTTCTTATGATTGCATTTTTAATAGGACTTCAAGAATCACTTAAACAGCCTTTCAAACATATAGTTTGTTTCTTTATTTTTCTTCCTAAGCAATTAAAAAAGCTTTCAGGCTGAAGCCTTAAAACGTCAGATTCTATTTGGCTAATGTACTACTCAAATTGTCTCTGCGAAATCAATTAAAGTTGTATCTGAACCACAAAATAATTTTTCATGGTAACCTAGAAGTTATATAAAACTTTAACTTATAAGTTGATAGTAAAATATCAAAATAGATTTATAAAGCTTAATTGAGAATAAGAGGCTTATAAAATATGTTTTATTTTGCATAAAAAGAGTTCTGATTTGCGGACATTTATCTTTATTTATTGAGGGTTGAGGTAGGGATTTATACACGCTTTGTAGGGATTTAGGATTATTACGCCCATTTTATTTATTGGTCATAGAAAATCAAAGCCATTATTTATAGGTTGCGACCATAAACTTATTCTTCATTGTTTTCAAATCTTTTGTACTATGTGTCTTCCAGGCATCGGCATGTTGCACAGTCACCAGTCTTATCTAGGCCCATTACATGTAGAAATTTATTTGCTCCCTCATGATTTATTATAAGTCGATCAGGCTTGATGGTTCTCACTTTTCGTAGCACATTCCCAATCGTAAATCTATTACCAATCTTTCATTATTTCCATCCTCAATATTCTTATCAAGACAATTAATGGAACCTTAGCATTTATACGATGAGCTGGTTTTGATTAACACTTTTTTCTGTCATTTCATTTTCCGATATTTCTACATGTTCCACCACCTGTTGGAAAATAATAATTGTTGCTGGCAATGAGTAACAGTGATATGATTCTAAAAGGAAAAGTGTGTTTGTACTTTATTTTGATAGATTAATTTTATGTTTTTACATGCTGCTGCTGAGTCTTTTAGAATAGCTATTTTTTTTATTGAATAATGTTTTGTCGGTGTATGTTATTGCTTTAATAAGGATATTTTTTTATTTCAGGGGGGGGGAGGTTGAATACATATACGGAGGGTTGTTTGAAGTTACTTGTTTTGATGCATCAGTGTAGACTTGTAGGTAATTAGGGTATAGTTCTATGATCGTGCTAAGTGTTAGTTGTTTCAAGTGGATCGAAAGACAACACATTTATTCTCTAAACAGGGATTCTTAATTGAAGAGACCTCCCATAAAGGTACTCCAAATTTTTAACATTGGCATGTTGGATAGTAATCTCTGTTATCTTGAGAATTCAAAAATACTCTAATAATTTATATCTTCTAATGTAACAGATGTAACTATAACTAATGTAACAGGAGACATTTCAGTATCCTTCTCTGATTCTGCTTTGGTGTGTCTGTTAGTAATGTTTGTACAAGTGAATTAGTATGTCCAGCAAAAAAGTCATGAAAATATATGTAACATAGATTAATTAAGTGAGTCACGAGTAGATTTTTGGACAGTGATTTATTGGATACATAGAAGAGAAAGTGTGTGATATACCAGAAAAATTTATATTGAAAATTATATATTGTCTATTAATATTATGCAGACTTTGGTTTTCTCCTATTGATGGATGTGTAAAAAACTACCAGTTACAACCAATAATATTTTTTTTTTTAAATACCAACATAAAAGTGATATTTATTTAAACTTAATATTTTTTTAACACAACAGCCTAATTCACCTTTCACAGCTTTACCCATTTTTCTCCACTTTCAAATTACTTTTTTTAACTTTCACCTACATCAAAATTGGTTTTAAAAAATACAAAAGAGAAACATTTGTTTTTCTATATGAATTAAAACTTTCGTTGGTTACCACAGAAGAAGATAATCCAATTCTTTTTTAACCTTTTAAAGAAAATGTAGGGTTTTCGTGGAGCCTTATATCATACAATCCTTTTTATGATACAATCCATCATGGAATCCTTTTTAGAATATATGTCAATTATCTTTAATTTTTAAGCTGAGGAGACAAAGAAATCAAAATGTAGTTTGATTAATTGAGGCCTTTAGAATAAAAATCCTTTAAATCCGGTTTTTCAGGGGTTCATAAATATTTCAATAATTGTAATTTCACTACAAAATACTCTAAAAATTTATAATACTGAGTAATCCAACTTACATTAAACATGCAATCTAGTTACTGTAATATATTGGCCTACCATCATCAATGAGGAATATGATAGTGTCATCTCTATGTTGCAGTGAATCTCAAATAATTATATCAAAGTTTGGATCTGATTTAGACATTGATGTAGAAACAAATATTTTTGATTTAGTAATATTCCATTTATCCCTGTCGAACTAATCCATTACTTACTACTTCATGTAGATAAATGTCTTACTTGGAATTCTCATACGAGATTCAAAGAAATTGCTTGTACCTAGTCCTGTCATAAATATTGTTACAAGGAAATATATTCAGATTTCAATAGAAAAATTAATTTTTTCAAAAACTTTATTAGAAAATAAAATGTTTATCTATAGAAAGTAAAACAAAAAAGAAATTACTTAAAATGTCCCTCTTTCGCCTTGACACAGGCATTTAATCTCCATGGCTAGTCATCAATAGCAGCACGCAGCACTTCTTGTGGAAAGCGCTCAACTGCTCGGACCAGAAATTGTTTGAGGCTTTCCAAGTTAGGGTGTGCTCTTTGGCATGTTATCTTTTCCAGTTCGGACCAATCTAGTGGGTTGAGATCAGGGCTTCTGGAGGGCCAATCCCAGGCAGAGATGAACTCTGGAATGTTCTTTTGCAGCCACTGCTGAGTTGACCTGACCTTGTGAGCTGTTGCAGAATCCTGCTGAAAAATCCAATGACTTCCAGCAAACAGAGAATCATTTAGAGGCTTGACAACAGGTTCCAAAATATCGTCCGTATAGTTTTTGCGACTGTTTTCACTCCTTTTTCACAAAAATAGAGCTTTGTGGTGCCATAAAAGCAAACTCCCCACCTAACCATCACTGAAGGAGGGTGATCACCTCTTTCCACTCTTCCAATGATTTCATGGGCTTTTTTAGAGCTGTGTGAGTACACACGATCATTTTGGCGATTAAATTTTTCTTCGATTGTAAAAATTTTCTCATCGCTAAACAAAATCTTTTGACGAAGACCATTGGTGTAACGGCCAAGAAGCACTTTGCATCTATCCACTCTAATTTTTTTAATAGGAAGTGGTTAGCCTTTGTTCTGTCATTCTTTGAAATGCACCCATCCTAAGGTCAATTTTTATTATGCAGGACATTGGTCTGATAGAGATTCCCATTTCCCAAGACATGATTTGTTGTTTTCGAATGGGATTTCTTCTGATTTGAGCAGCCACTACTTTCACTGCATTTGCCAGTCTTACAGTGCTGGGACAGCCAGGTCACATACAGATAGGGGGTCATTATATCTATTTATAGTACAGTACACAAACATACAGCTGATACCCAAAGGTTTCAAAGAGTTGAAAATCTCTGACCTACATTTTCCAACTTTGTGTAAGGTGATCACAGCTATTCGGTTTTCTTCATAATCCCACGCCATGTTAACTGAGCGAATGAAAAATACAAACTAATTGGGTTTATTATCCTAACATGCAAATAAAATAACCTGATAGAGGTAAGGATTATCTTAATAATACCCAAGGATTTAAACAAAGTTCAAATTTTGTAACATTATTTATGGTAGAACTAGGTATATTTTGATTACTACAACAAATACTTGACAAACACTTTAAACTTCCAATATTCTACAAAAAAAAACTCTTATATACGACCATCATCAGGCCCATTTGATAATAAGGAATTGAGCTTTAGGTCTCTTCAAAATCAGCAAATTCTTCCTGTATCCAAACCATACAATCCAAAATATACCATAGAATCCTTAATGCTCCTTATTATGTTACAAATAAAATTATCTATAAATGCTGTAAATGGAAAAAATCCTGTAACATTTAAAGAGTTTATATGGCAACATTTCTCCTATTCAGGGATCATCAGGACAGAAAAATCAAGATGACATAAAAGCAAAAAGAAAAAAAAAATTGCTATTGACATCTCATGAAGTCATTCAAATACATACTGAAGGAAACAGAAGGATATCAATATTATCCATAAAGATATTTGCTTTGTTGTAGATTTAACCCAAATTAGATATTCCTCTTTTATTTCCAAACTCTTTGGTCACCTTAACCTTCTGGTTCTCTAACCTTTCATCCAAAACAATTCCTGACAACACTGGGATGTCTGAAAATGGTATGGCCTACAGAACTCCTAAATTAAACTGATCATTTAAGTTTCACCAATGGGTACCATTTTCACAAGGTCTACATATCATGTTTTATATTCTTGTAACAAATTTACTTGTTTATTTAAACAGTTATGAATTTCAAATAATGAAAAATTTATTTTGCAAAAGTAAGTATGTGAAAAAATAAAAGAATCAATTAGTTTCAAAAATTTTATTACAATAAATATATAAGTACAATCATCATTTATAAAAGGAGAGCTATTACTAAACTGAAAGACAATCAAAATGTCTGTCAATCAAAATAACACTTTCCTGGAATGAAATTTGTAAACCACATTATCAGAAAAGTAAAGATACTTATTTTTTTCTAGATCACATCTAATTAAAAATGACTTCACTGTATCATGTTATGTTAGTCATGAGACGAACTGCCGCTGCTTGAGGTACACAAACTGTGTCTATTAACTTATAGTCAGAAGATTGAAATATTTGATTTAATTCCCGGGCAAGCGGCAGTGTTTCTCGATTATGATGGCTGAGATCTTAGTCTCCTATTCTTTATTTCCTGTAATGGTAGTTGTGGTCGATGTAGGCCGGGACGTAGGCGGCTGGGGCGTGGTGGACCGCTGGGGCTGGAGCGTGGTGGACAGCGGGAGCTGGGTGATGGGATGGTCCGATCTTCTTGACGACGGCGTTGAACCCGTTGTGGTCATCAGCAGTGTACTCCACCACTCTGATGGAACCGTCCGGCTCGACCAAGGAGTAACCGCCCTTCACTACGTCTCCATCGCGCTCTTCGTACTGCTGCTTGATGTCACCGGTGTGGGGGTCGTGCACTCCGTAGTTGAAGGCATACCTGGGGTAAGCCTAGAATCAAAGCAGTCTAGTATTAAAAATAAAATCATAATTAAATGCCCACCTAATATGAAACAGTTAGAATAAAAGAAAATGAAAAATACCAAAAGAAATGTAGTAATGGAATTATTAGAAGAAATTGGAATTAGTTTTTGTAATGAAATCATTTGGTAGTTGTCTCATTCAGTATTATTTAATAAGTAATGTCACAGAGCCATTTTTATCAAATTATTAACACTCGTCTAAAACTTAGTGAATTCTGCTTTCGTAACCAACAACTTTTATTTTTATGAAAATTCTCAGAAATGGGGTGTTTTCCAATCAATAAATTGAAGTTGATAAGTTGAACTTCGCCCAATATTTTTGTAGGTTCGATTTTCTGTTCAAATTATCTTACGTTTCAAATGGAAAGCAAATAGTTCATCATGAGTTTTTAGATTATCATTAGATTAACAAAGTTTACAGATATCTAGATTGAAAAAGCTCCATTTTCCTAAATGAAATGAAGCCATTGGCTAAGTTTTAGACGAGTGTTGATAATTTGATAAAAAGGGATCTGTGACAATATTTATATAATTCTATATTACTGAATGAGACATCTACCAAATAATTTCATTACAAAAACATATAAAATCTTATATCACTGAGGAAGACGTAGAATAATAAATAGTACTACAGTATTAAAATCAGTTAACATCAGATTAGATGACAAGAAAATAAAACAAACAATAAATGTAACAACAAAATAAAATAAAACAAATGTAGTGAATAAAAAATAAAAACATTGATTATATCATCGTATGAATTTCGCTGAATACAACCTTCTCAATTGTGAGTATACTTGGCAAAATAGACATCTTTCTTTATATAATTTATTAGTCATATGTCGTTTTGGAACTTTACTGACATCTTTAAGAACCTAATAAAAAAATGTATCCCTACAAATATTCACCTTATAAATATTACAACATTTTTGTAATTATGATTTTTTTTCATTTGATGCAATTAAACATCATTTGACTATGCTCAATTTTTATAATATAATTTTCCATCCATAATTTTCTTCCACACATCTTGAGAAAATGGACTTTACAAAGGATTTTAATTTATGTAGTGATTAGCATAACCATTGTCCTGATTTAATCCGTCTCTCCACTATTTTGTCCTTTTCAATATTTTGTTCAGCTTTCCAGGCCGCTGAATTCATCTTCCAGAAGAAGTCATCTGGAACGGTTGACGAAATATCGGTAAGAACAAAATATACCGTTGGATATAATAATCAGAGCAATAGGACATGAACTGTGTTTATATAATTGTCTCAACTATTATTATTGTTTATTGTTAATTTTATAAAAACATATTAAAAGAGGACCATCATGAAGAATACTGTAGAAAATATTATTGCATCTTATGAGAGGCTATAGTCCAAATTAGGAAATATTTTGAGACATTGAAAATTATAATTTTAGTTTCCGAAGATTGGATCAATGAATCGAAACACCATATAGCTAAACCTTTTGAAAAAAATATTTGTACGACTATTTTGACCTATAAATCTAAATACCTAAATAAATTTCGGTTTTTATTATTTTGTTATTTAATCAACATAGACAATGCAAAATTTATTTGTTTACACCATATATTCTTTTTAAAATTTTTATCTTCTAGAATTTTAGTATAATATATTTTTTCGCGGTTTTCTGCTATGATTTCATATTTAACTCTCATTAAAATAACTATAAATCAAGTACAACTACATAGTATAGCAGTTACAACGTTTTCAAAACCTTCAACTGTTGTCAGCAGTTAGAACATTGTAACCAATTTAAAATTCTTTATTTTTCAACTGATGGCACTAAAATTCATTTGGAACATAGATAACTTTGTTGTAAGTGATTTCTTAGTGAAAACTCAATTTGCCCAAATTTGTTAGAGCATTTTCAAACCAAGGCCACGATATGTAATTAGCAGTCATATATGGCCGCATGTGGCCTCCGTGTCGTAACTCTGGCCATCAAACGTTTTTGTGCGATCTTAATTATCTTAGCACTAAAATTAATTAATATTTAATAATTTAAGTTACGAAAATTGATATAATAAATTTCAATATACTTATACTGGTGGTGAATTATTGATAATTAAAAGTAATAGCAGTGACATATAAAGAGTTGTTACAGCCTCCATTAGCACTGCCTAACCTTACTGCGGCCGTTAATGATAAAAAGGTTCCCCGCCTGTGATTTATACAATAACAAATGTATAATAAATCATAAAAGCGTAATATATTCAAACAAATTGATGTGCACTGTACTCATTAAACTATTATTACATGATCCAATTAAGGTCAGTTGAAACCAGTCTCGATAATAAATTACAATCACATGCAATTACGAGTATGGATGAAGCAACACGGACTCCGAAGGTGTGCTACAAGTTATGCCAAAGCAATTAGACATTTATTAGGAATGAAGGATCTTAAAGCGATCTTCCAAGTGAACGTTCCACCCTAAGAAAGTAGCCGGGTCGGCCAAGACCTTGAACAGATAATGCTATTGTGCAACTGGTCCACCTGCCGCCATTGTAGCATCGCCGCTATCAAGATTTATCTTATCTGCCGAGTCATTACTGAATGCTTCCTTCTTCAGTCAGAGGGAGCTATAAATTCTTTTTGGCGATGCCGACTAGTTAGGAACTTCAAGTAAAGTAATTCAATACAATTGTAGACTAATGGTATTCAAGATAGTTTATTGATTTTCGAGGTCTTGACGGACGAGAGTTTTAGGCGTGAAAACCTCAGTAGTTCGAATCTTTGGAGGGTTGAAATTTATTGCATGGTGAACCTTTGGAATGAATCTCCACTATAGGAAGTATAGGTTAGTCCCCTGTTGGATAAGATTACATTATAAACAAAAAAAATAAACGATAACAGAAAATAAATTAACTGCCTCTCAAGATTCATCTTGTAATATTCATAATATTACTGTTTCTGAATTAATAATAATTAATTATTATTAATTAATTAATTATTATTAATTAATAAAACTATTATGAGAACAGTTTATTTTCATTTTCAAAATACTTTTCTTTTCGTCATTGTCAGGTGAGTAGGATAGTTTTGCGTAACTTTGTGAAGCATTATTATTAACTGTAGATCACTTCGTCATATAATTTCAAATACCACCTAATCATTTTTAGATAATAATGAGTTAGTTAACTAACTAGATTATTTAGAAAACGAATGGGTTGCATGCATATGTTAGATATATCGTTACTGTTCGTGCAAAAGGTCGTATATAACTTTTTAACATGTTTCTTTTCGTTGCAGGTGACATTTTATATTCTGCAACGGCTCTAAGTTGTCTGCTAAATAGGAAAATAGCAGAGGAAACTAAAATATGAAATTATATACTAAATAAATCATAAAGAAATAATAGGTTTTTTATGCTCTGTAAAAAAAACTCAATTTTTACAAATGACTTTTTGCACTAAGAGTAGCGATATGTTTTTAAGACATTTTGAGGTTGGAATGTAAAAATTATAAAGTTTTTATAAAGTGAGAGATTTGAGTTAAAGTTGGGACAAAGAATCCCGCACCACATCCTAGCCGCGGTATGACTTACCAAGGCCGTAGGAAGTAACTTCTCTTTGAAACACATACACTTAGATTAAGTTAGAACAAAACACGGGGACAAGCTATCTACAGTTTCATCGTGAAGATACTTCTTCATACGGCCATGGTGTTGCTCGGAGTCTTTGCGGAAATGTGAGTCCCAATCTCTAGGTAGTGTTAAAACTTGTGTGACGATTTTCACTTTTTCAGTACTCTGAGGCTCGAAATAATCAAAGTCGTCCTTACCCTTAAATGAGATATCCAGCATACTTACGTAATGTTCGTGGTCGTGCTGAGGAGCGTAGTTAGCGTACTCGACACCTTCGTATCCTGGGAGTACGGCTGGAAGGGCGGCTGGAACGTGGATGGGCGCGACCTGGATGGCAGGTGCGGCAGAGTAGACTGGAGCGGAAGAATGGTGGAGGGCGTGCCCCTCAGGCAGGACCGCGGGCCCCACCGAATGGTAGTACTGCGGCTCGAGGAGCTGGTGGCCCTCGTAGTAGTGTGGTTCGATAGCGCCTGCTCGGGCCAATGCGATCAAAGCCAGCAAAGCTCCCATTATCTGCGGGAATAGTATGTTGTCAATATGGCGCAATACAAATCATTAGTAAGATAGAAATAAAACATTTAAATTATTTTGAATGAAGGTACTTTATCTTATTTTCAATGCTGAAATTTAAAAATACAACATTTTTTTTATTGCTTGGAATAGATTTTAAGGAATGTCTAAATAATTTCAAAATTTTATCAAATAAACTACTCTTCTGTTCAGAAATCTGTTATTCATGCAGCAATGCCGACTTTACAATAACATTTTTGTCTCTTCAAAGCTTAATCCAGAACTGTCATACATTTGAAAATAAACACATGTTTTGTTGTGAAATTGTAAAATGGCGTTCTAGACATGAGGAAGGTAAGTACCCAGTAATGTTACCTTTTTCGTTATTATAATTTTGGGTATGGAAATTGCCCAAGCACTCTTACATTTAAAAAATTAAATCAGTATCGATAAAAGTGTTTTTAAACAGTATTATCAACAACTGACAAGGATAGAACTACCTGCTCAGTAGAACTACAAGTACATATTCTAAATCATAACAGTATAGTCACAATGGTGTCACATTGGCTTATAAACTAAATTATAACGTTCCCATAAAATCAACCTTCCTCGGTCAAATGCATTTTTCACGACTAGAAATCGTTCTGTTTCAAGCATTGAAGAGCCGATTTAAGGCAACACTTTGGAAATAGTACATACATTAAAAAAAATTGTTCTAAATTAAATGTTTTTTAAGCATTACATTGATGAACTCGTTACATAACGTACTTATGTAATGTAATAGTATGTTACATAACATACTCGTTACACTTATACAAATAAAAAACATAAAGGAACTGAATGAAAGTTTCCACCGCCCCTAAACATTTTATTTTTGTTTGATAAAAAAAAGAAATTTCATGATTCATGATGTGTCTCTTGAAATTGAAAAGTAGTTAATTTTGATTACTTAGGCTGACTTATATATACCAGTATTTATATGTACTACCCTACGTCACTACCGATTAATTATAATTTTTATTCATTCTCTATATTTAGCCATTTCTTAGTACTTCGAATTTTAGAGACTGATAATTATTTCGAATAAACTATATTAAATGCACTTAAGCCAAAACCATTTTGAAAATTCGGCACTTAAACTCAAAAGTGAGTCCTAAAACTTCAATGTGGGTCCTACCTAGCAACAGATCCAAAATTTAATTTTGGGAGGAGTGGATCGTGGATTTTTTTATTAGAGTAATTACTCTCGAAGAAAATTAATGAAACAATATAAAACGTTTAAGTGGTCCTTAAAGGCCTGAAAAAAAAATTATATAATGAACAATTTTTTTTTTCTTGACGCGTGCTCAAATTTAGTAGCTGAAACACATACATTTCAAGCTATAACAGTAGATATTTTGATTGTTTATTTATTTATTTCAGATTACTTACACTAACAAATATGGGCCAATTAATATAAATATATATATTTTTTGGAAGTACTTACTCGTTCCACCAGTGGTAATACTTGTGATTAATGTGACATTAAAAGTTATTTAATTGAACATTATATAACGATTTTAGTAAAAATCATTAGGCCGTTTTCGAGAAAATCATAAAAATGTTTATAACCACTTATGAAATGTGTGATAGTAGTGTGTGTATGTATAGTAGTGAAAAGTTGTTGCAACATCACAGGCATGTACGTAATTGAAGTATATAATTTCAGTTTCGTACAACTTTTCATTTTTGAGCTAGACTGTTTACAGACACACACTGTATATTTTATATGTAAGCAAGCAGAAATAACAAAATACATTTCGTTCCTAAAAATACCAGTGAGCATAATTATGAAACTACAATACTTATACATACAAGATATGAAAGGAAATTCTTTTGCAAGAGTAATAATTCATAAAAACTGATCAGCGTCTCCGAGTAATCGTAAGTTAGAGCGGTTGGGAAACATAAGGTTGACTAACATCCACATTTCCAGTGCTTAAGCAGCTTCAAAAGAAATATGCCTTTTTTGGATTGTGGATTCCAGCAGTGAATAGAAGTTTATGAGTATTCAGAAGAAATTTGCAATTTTAATGTGTTTTTTTTTCGTTTGTTTGATGAAAGGTAAAGGTTTTTTTTAGTACATAAATTCCAAACACAAATGCTTGAGCCCCCAACGTGTAGGTGAACAGTTAATTCCTGTTTTAGTTTTTCCTCCCTTTCCTTCTCTGTGCATTTGGATGGATTGGTGTGATGTATAGTCTATAGTAAATAAAGTATTTTTTTTTTCTTTTTTATCAACATATATTTGATCTTTTTATGCCTTGATGCCTAAATTAGTGAAACGTTGACTGGTTAGCTGTAAGTTGGAAACTCAAAAATTTCTGGTTGTATTTTTTTATTGATATTCTAATTACTTTTATTTTGTATTTGGGTACTCCGCCCTTCTATATTATGATTTTTAACCCGGCTGTGGTAGTTAATAAATATTATTTTACATCAGCCGTGGATCGACTTTGGGTTGGAAAACCCTCCCAACACAACAAACATCAAAAGGCAATAATGTATAACGAAGTGATTCAAATTATTTTAATATTTTAAATTGAAAATTTCTTTCAAGAAATAAAATGTAAGCGATGTAAAAAACACTACTTTTTTTCTGTTTTATAGTTAAAGATAACAAATTTTAACTTCATAAATAGTTCTTGTAAGTTTATATCGATATAGTTTATTGATTAATTTAATAAATCTAAGATTTATAAAGAGAATACAAAAAGTGACATTTTTAAAAAAAGACTAGTTAATCTTGCTCTTAACTAGGTGTTGTGCAAACAACAATGAAATTAGAAAGTCCGTCATATGGCGCTACTGGTTGCACTGGTTAGAAGTCTTATGTTAGTGAAATTGTTAAGAACATCCGTATTAGTAATGTAACCTTTCTCCAATGGTTGAAGCATTTCTCTGGAATCTAGTTAATCTGCCTAGGAAGTTCCAGTCATGTACATTTCTACGGTAACAATACCTTAACAGAGCCTTGTTCTCCACTAAACATAGTGGAGAAAGAGTTCGAGAAAACACATTTGAAGTCTGTAGATTTTTTTTTAAATTGTATATAAACGGCTTATCATTTTGCCATATTTACAGTGAGGAATGAAAAGTGAATTCATAAACTATTCGAGGAAATAAAATAAAATTTGATTAAATTTTTTTATCGGTATATTACTCGACAAATTTATAATGCCAATATGTAAAGCTCAGGAGATTATTTTTACGCGATCTTCTATTAGGCCACAGGTGCGGATTTTAGAACACTATATCATCATCATCATCAACCCAAGCTCTACAATCCAATACTGGATTGGATTGGATGACTTGGATTTGGCTGACTCAAGAGTTGCCGTCCACTTTTCTGTCCTTAGCAGCCGTCTACGAGTTCCTGATACCAAGAATTCTGACAACGGCACGAACTCCATCTACCCATCTCAGCTTCGCTCTACCCTCTGTTCTTTTACCACTCGATTTCATGCTGAGGTTGAGCTCTCATCCATCCGTACAACGTAGCCCGCCCATCTCAGCCTTGCTATCCGGATATATTTCACCACATCCGGCTACCTGTTTAAGTTGGCTAGTTCTTGGTCACATCTGATTCTCCATTTATCATTTTCCTTTGGTAAGACAAATATCTTCCTTATGAAAATTTATGTCTTCCTTTTTATGAAAAGTGTTTTCAAATTTTATGATAGTCAGCAATACGCGTCTAATCCACTTTTAACATCACAAACTTTAACAAAGATGGCCACAAAAGTGAGAAACACTTACGAGAATCCTTAGACTTGAATAGACTGAGGATTATTTAGCCCCTTAAGCACTTATCATTTTTCATACATTTTAATTATCTTACAATGCATACCATCTATGAAATACAACGAATACTATCCTACCAAATCAAGTAATGAAAATTTCAATAAAACATCATTGGAGCTAACAAAAATAAAGATAAAACGTTCATATCTGCAACTAACATTTAGATTTGAAAAATATTTTTACGATGGATAGGCCTTTAAGAGTGGGAGGCTTTAGATTTTTTTTACTTTATTAATAAACTATAATAATAAACAATGATAACCATCAAATTAATTTTTTGATTAATCAAAGTAGCACAGCCTCCCGTTTATATTATTTGCAATCGTTATAAATAAGCGCAGCGACAAACTTTTAAGATATATTCATTATAATTATTTATATTAATTCAAATATAGTTCATAAATAAGGTATATAAAAACAAAATAACCATTTACGTCTTGTTTTGAGTGTTTCTACATGCACCTTAAAAACGATATATCAATCAACTTATTACTGACTCAAACTTCCAAAAGTTTTCAATATATAAGTTTTACGATGCCTTGGTATTTCAGCAACACTATATACTATGATCAGAAAAATCAATATAAACCGTATTTTAAATTACAATATTAGCTTGAATGATAAGATTCAAAAGAGATTAGTTGAGAGATCAACCAACCATAACTTTAATTTACAAACAAGGAGTTATTACAACCGCGTACGTTCTCATTCATGCCAATTTAAGTATTCTTATTTCATGCCAGGACATTCATTGATTATCCTTTATATCTAACAGGCGTGGTAGTAAAAATTCATTTATTTTGTACAACTGCAATTAAGATAATGAAAGAAACAGCATTGGCTGAAAATTAAGTGAAATTTAATCAATATTTTAGTTGTTTTTCCAATTAATCTGCAACAACCAATTCGGCAACATGTGTAGTTGATAACGTCTACTCAACCAATCTTACAACCCTCAGCAGGTGGTGTAATCACGACACTTGTGGTAATTCTTACTGCTTAGAGATTCTAAGCTTCTTGCATGCGTTTAAGAAAAACACTCGTATTAGTTTTTTCTCCCAGGGTTTTCACCGTTTTCCTACTTATCCTCGATTTTGTCACTGACTTCCTCTTTATAAAACTTGATAAGTCATCGGTTGATTTTACTAATAGATCTGTTC